TTGACGCATGCGCATTTGCATAAATGTCTACACACACACATACACACTACACACAATAAAAAAACATAGGAAATAGCAAGAGTGATTACAATAGTTCCTATTGCATTACATGCATAGGAACTAAAAATATAAATTAAAAAAATGTATACATATTTTGTATAATATAAGTTATTATTATATTAAAAATTATTTTCATTGTTATCTTACTGAAAAAAAGAGTTAATACTTAAAATAATAATCGGTTCCTAGAGATTAAAATGAGATGGTTATAAAAAATAAGAGAGCACCAACCATGTTATCAATATCTGATAAGAAAAAAACAATCCGTGTCGGATAATCAACACTCACCATTGCATGCACCAGACTGCTCAAAGTTGCCATAGGAACAATTAGAAATACAGCGACTGCTGTATAGAACATATGGAACTTCACAGCCCCTACACTGATCTGCATCCGGACCCCGACAATAAAGACAACTTTGATGACAAGCTATAAAAGAATTTACGTTATTAAAATAAAAACTACAATGTAATAAAAAAGAAATAAAACCAAACAGTATATGAAATAGTTAAAAAAAATCCTGATAAACTTATTCCACTATGTTCAAATGAAAGTACTGTAACTTGATGTATTATCTGTTTGTCTATTTTGTTTTTTTAAATGATTCAATATGATAGATGCTTGTACTTTAGAATATTTTTTTTTTGCAATACCATTTGAAATATGTACAGTCTTTATATTTGCATCATCTTTTAAATTGCATACAATCTTTGCATTTGTAATCAGACTTTGTATTTGCATACAATCTGCATACATACAGTTTTTCACATCTGCATATACATATAATCACTGTAATGGCATAGTTTTAATTTGCATATAATCCTTTTGTATTTGCATATTAAATTCTTGTATTGCATTTAACTTATGTTTTTGCATAGTGTTGTTGAGATAGCAAGTTGGATTTGTTAAACTATAGAGGGCAGCATTTTTTAAATGTTTTAGGATCACGTCAGGAAAGACGGCGTGGTGTTGGGCGAATATACTGGGTTATTATTGAAACCCAGCAAAAAACCGAGCACAAGAAAAAAGAAAATAAATTAAATTTGTTGAAATTACGCAACTTTCTTCCAGAAGGTCATTTAATTATAGTCTCTGGAGCATTTATGGTAGCCAGAGAGAGATTTGTTCTCGGGAAAGGTATGATTTAAGCAGTTTAAGGAGACAGTTAGGAAAACGAGATAAGTATATTCGGGGGCTTGTCGAAGAAGCAAACCTAGCACTTAGTGTATCCACTGACGATGGACAAGTCACCCCACTGATATTGTTGGAGAAGTTAAGAGAATTGAAACAAGGAAATTTTCAGAAGAGTGTTGATTGGCCTGTGAGTACGAGGACCAATTAGAGTATGTAGAAAACTCAGTAGAAAATACCATATCTTGCACTAGCAGCCTGTGAAAGGGTAATTGTAATGCTAACTAGGCCTACTACTCCTATTAGATCTCTGTACATTAGCAGTGGTAGTCCACAAGCAAAGTCTTTGTCAGAAAACAAAAGAATTAGATGAAGAATTGTCACATTGAATTGGATTGGATTTATTTGGTGTAAACACCAAGAATAGCCCGCGAATGTCTAGTAGAAGACTTATTTCCAGTGGGGTCCTTCTGGTGGTGATTGGGCAGTATACCGGGAGACAATCCCCTACTCTTTTCCGAAGAGCGTACTGCGTTCTTTAACGTGCACATGGGCCGTAAATGCAAACGGGACCAACGGCTTAAACGTCTCATCCGAAAGACGGTGCACTATTGTAACTTGTATTTTAGCTCTCCAGCTGAAACAGAAGAAGAGGCAGCGATGAGAATAAAACCCAGGACCTAGTGATCTCCACGGTTCAGCGCACACACACAGTGGCTACCACCAGATTAGCCGACTGAGCTCAATATTAACATTCCAGAAAATAGTACAGTGTGGCCAAAACAACACACTATTTCCAGCTACAGGTGAAGGTCAAAACCTGAAGCTATGGGCTCACAGGCCAGAGTGCCCGTCTCTCTTTCCTTAGCGTTTGGGCCACACTGACATTGTCAGGAAAAGTAGCATTAAACTCTCCAGTTCTATTCCTCCGGCTACGCCTTCTGCAACCAAGGCGTGTCATGAAAGTTAATTCGTAGCTCTCAGGACAGTACCAATATTAGTATGTAACGGTGAAAAAACAATTAAAGTAAATGCCCTTCTTGATGAAGCTAGCAGCAAAAGAGCTCTACTTAAATTCAGACATAGCAGCAGACCTAGGGATTGAAAGAAAGGCAAAACAAGTTGATTGGTCAATTTCAGTGTCTGTATTCTCGATGGTAAAACAAGGAAAAGCATATGGACCTACACGATAGAAAACATGCAGACAGTTAATTGGAGCACTGAAAAACGCTTGAAAACATTCTGTTCCCGGAAATAGGAAATAGGGACAAAGAACAATCATATGGATTTACTGACAGGAGCAGACCAAGCAGAACTCATGTACTTGATACAGGAGGTAAGAACCAATTGCCATATTAACTTCGCTTGGATGGACATGCATTGGTAAAGCAAAACTGGGCTCTCTGCATAAGAGGGAACACACCTGAGACACTTGAAAACAACTCTACAATCAAGTAACAGGAAAAGGCAACATTAGAAATGTCTGAAAGATCACGGTCCTGTGAAAATGGCAGCATACAGGAAGTCTTTCCAGGGGAAGACCGACAGGTGCAGGTAGCTGAATGAAAGACTCAGGCCTAGTTCAGACTTGGTGGAGAAACCCGGCTAAACTCACCGGGTATATCCACTTGCCAGTCTGAACTAGGTGGAATCTCAAGCCGGGCTGTGTTCCTATAGTAACTAGGCCTGGCATGCCACCATGTTTTCTAAGCCGGGCTTTAATCATTGCGGGGGGGGGGGTCTTGTGTTGACTTCGGGTAAAAATATGACCAATCAGCATTCAATTACGTGTTCTGTGAGCGTGAGTACGTTTCGAGCGCAATGTTTCGAAACTCGTTTCCTGGTTACGGTTCATTAATATGCAGATACTTGCGTCTGGCTAGTCTGAACACTCGGCAAGATTAACCCGGGCTTAATCTTGAGCCAGGCTCAACATACGCTTGGCTTATCTCCAAGTCTGAACGTAGCCGCAGACAGCTTTTGATTCGCCCGCTATTTACAATACATATGCTAGGTGAGGGTTAATAAAGATGCTCTTTAAATGTGTGACCCCTTACAGTTGTTTTGTAAGAATCATGTTTTATTTTATACAGCTGATAAAATCCATCCTTAGGCTCGTTGTTAACTGTGTTAGAGGAGTGGCACATAGTTAACTACCGTATTGTCATTCCTTATACAAAACAGTATTAAAAATAAAATTGATACTGTATAACAAATTAAGTGCTTTTCTACCGTATATCTGTTTAAAAAAAAACTGGTTAAATAACTCGTCCATTTAAATGCACAAATGAATAGAGTATATGTTGTTTGTTTTTACAATCGCTGGCATTTGAACTACTGTTGTAAACTGTGCTTGACTACATGATTATTATGTTAACTGTGTGAAATGAATGAAGATATAAACACATTACATATTTGAACCTATAAAATAGTTCTGTTATAATAATTTAATAATATTGAACATGAACAATCAATTGATCATTTTTGTATGTGCATTCAGTCTTGGAATTTACATACAAAATCTGTAAATCTTTGTATATTTGCATATAGCATTTATATACATTTTGTATTTGTATAAAGTTTTTGCACTTACATACAGCTTTTGCCTTTGCATACAGTTCTTGTATTTGTATGTACTTTACATAGATATTCAATTTTCATAATTTTGCAACAGGATATCCATGTTAAATATTGATGAAAAATGCATGAGCTTAAGCATTTTAAACTGATTGATTTCTAATTCTATTCACAGAGTTATAAAATATGCTTTAATGTCCTGAAAAGATCCAAGGCAGCGAGGAAAGAGATAAGGAAGGAGCCTAGAGAGGGGGATTATTGATGACTACAAGCTGCAACAATGACAAATAATCACTCCCGAAACTATAAATAAGTTCTCCTCATGAGGAAGTTAATGATATTAATTGAAATGCTTTAAAACACATTTCCGAATGCACCAAATAATTTGAACCTTTGGATCAGATTATACATGTAAGTGTAATTTTAATATAATTCATTAGTCCTAGAGCAGGAATACTTGCAAAAAAAAAAAGAACTTATATGTTTCCCTTTGACACTTTTAATTACAAAAAATATGAAACATTTGCATGTTTATATGAAAGTCCATTTGAAATCCAGAATTTTCAATTAAAACAAACATAGTGACAATTGAGTCAAGAAAATTAACCTTGTAAAAATACATACAATATCGATGACAAAAGTCTGATATAAAATTTTTGTCAAAAAGAAAATTTGACAAAATTTGAATTAATTGAAATCCAGACAGTTAAAATAAAAAATAATACAATTGTAATTTCAGGCCAATTCACATTCATAAATATCCTACTCTCATTTGTGAGTTTGATTCATTTTCATCAAAATATATTCAGGATGTTACATAAAAACATTTACTGATAATTTTGCCATGTGCAGCATACTGTAAGCTAGCTAGCTCTTTCAAAATTGCTTTTGATGCCGTTCTAGCTGAAGGAAAAAGTTAGTAGATTTATTAAAAACTAATGAATCATAGAATTAATGAGTTATAGTAATTTTGTTGATTTTAAAATCTTACTCCTTTAAGTAAATCCTATCATGCTACATAAAATGTTAAGTACATCCTTTCAGGTGGCCTCAATCATCGGCCATCTAGATTGGAGGAAGTCACAAATTAACATGGGATTGCAAAGAAATTGAGTGACAATGATTTGGATTAGTGGCCGACACTTATCAGTCGCACAAACCTCAATCATCCTCACTTAATTCTAGAAAGTGTGGTAAGTCCTAGAGATGGATTCAATATGTCAAAACTCAGTACTACTCAATACTACAACATTTACAGAGTCAGGCAGGCATAGATGTAGACTTATTAAAATAAACAAAATTATATATCTTGGACTTTGCTGTACATAACAGATACAAAAAGAACATTAGTTGGTACAGCTGTTGTTGTGATCCTTTCTTCCCTCAAAATTACAGGTTTCTATTCACACAGACAAAGTATTTATACATTAACAGAAAGGTTAATATCAGCTGATTTTAATGGAGTACTTGACTTTCAAAGTCCGAGTCTTTTTTATCATAAGTTTGTTTCAGAAGCTAGCCATATCAATCTGACTTCAAGCCCAGTTTGTACACTCACCATGCAGGTCAAGGAAGCATAATCAAGCAGGTCTACACATGGTCTACTACGATCTAAGACAAAGGGCTAAGCTTTCTAGCCACTGCTAACATTGTTAAGATAGTATAATACATACTCCAAGTATCGAAATGCAAGCCATCATGTCGGGATTCAATATTTCAACATCAATTATAATTTATGTCATCATCAGGAATGAAAAATTATCCATATTTGCAAGCTTATATGCACAAATACCAAAAGTGTTTGACCAATCAAAACATTACCCCTAGTTGGTGGCATAGCTATGAATAAACTAAAAATCAAAGCATTCTTACCCTACTGATCGAAGCTACCTACAAAAACAAAGAAATCTCCTTGGAAGCTTTCAGCCCATTATTAAGCAATGGGTGTAGCTCACATATAGCAAATGCTTCTTTAAACAATAGTATAGACCAATTTTGAGGACTGTCAATAATGTTAGTATTAGAAAATATTAAACCTAATTTATTACTTACATTACAGGTTACATTATCATTTTTAAGTATACCTTGTAAACCTAAAACATATGAGAATGCCTCAAAAAATTTTGTATATGATCATTTATAACACTATCAGATCGTGAAGAATGTTCTTTAAGTGTAGTTATTAAGCATCTATCTGTCTTAACAGTATAATCACTATTTACACCCTTGACATTTAAAATGATAAACAGAGCTCCTATATTCCTTAGGGGTTTGATCTTTAGTAGATATAAAATGAGAGATATTTTTGTACTGCCATAATGTTATGAATTTTACCTCTTTATTATTTTATGCATCTACGTAAAATGGATTCACCTGCCTTTCCTCGATATGGCAATCTAACCCAGATCTTAATCAAGCTACCATCAGCAGGCCTATGTATACATTTAGGTTCATTTAATTTATTGAGTACATGCTAACATTGTTCGTTTGGCTTTTTGCTTATATCAAGGCCTGTTAGGAGTGATAACTGAAGCTTTGTTTAAGACAGCTTGCTTGAGTGTAGGCCTAGAACTACCTCACTACAATAAGCAAGACATGGCTAATGAAAAAGAATCTATGTCTATGGAAGAAGCTTATACATATGCAGGCACGTCAGAAGCAATTTTTATTGGTCTGGCCAAATACGACGATCGACACCCCACCCCTCACCTTGCCCATGGCGGAGGGGGTGGGGTTGGTGATCCCGATGGAAAACCCTTTTTTAATAAACTAGGCCTATGTCCGTACAGGGCATTGTATTCTTGCCGGTATTACGCAGGAAAACTTTACATTTACAGAGACAATTTCTACCGACCTATAGGTAAGGCCCAGACAAACTTTTAGAGGTTTAACAAATCACGCAGAAAAATGGATTGTTTCAAGGTTTCTTTATTGAAGTTTTGCAATCTCTCCGGAGACTTCCACATCACTGAGAAATGGAATTTAAACGAATCATTGTTAGCGTGACAGGTTATATTATGGCCTGTAATTAGAACTACACGATTGATGCAATAAAACAATGTATGTTTATATACACAAGTTGCCGGATAAAATATGTTTTGTATGCAATGAAATAAACTATATTTTCGGATTGCACAATATTATATTATCTTTTACAATCATTATTGGTTTGGATTGGATTGGATTTATTCGGTGTAAACACCAAGGATAGCCCACGAATGTCTAGAAGAAGACTTATTTCCAGTGGAATCCTTCTGGTGGTGATTGGACAGTACACCGGGAGACAATCCCCTACTCTTTCCCGAAGAGTGTACTGCGTTCTTTAACGTGCACATGGGCTATAAATGCAAACGGGACCAATGGCTTAAACGTCTCATCCAAAAGACGGTGCACTATTGTAACTTGTATTTTGGCCCTCTAGCTGAAACACAAGGAGAGGCAGCGATGGGAATTGAATCGGGACCTAGAGATCTCCACACAGTGGCTACCACCAGATTAGCCAACTGAGCTAAGCTGCTCTTATAAAACTGAATATTTTTTCATGCTGTGGATGTGATGTACAGTATCATTAAGGATTTTATCAAGTTGCCTAATACTATGTTTGTGGTAGTAGTACTGAATTATTTCTTAGCATGTTTTAAATACAGTTAATTCTTGCTTTATTAAAAATGCAGTCAAATGACGTAGCAGATGATGAACTTATATTAAAAACAACCGTTTTAACATACATTTAAACCACCCCCCCCCCGTCGGGGACCTCTTCCCCCGTAGGGAAAATCATGGTGCCATCCCGGGACAGCTTATGGTGGGTAGACGAGGTTGACTGGTTTAAATATTTTTTGATTGAAGTCTGGTCATTTAATTTTGTAAAAAAAAAAGAAGAGGTTGCGTCAGAGAAAGTACAATTTGGCTTACAAAACGATATTGTGTTGTAAATTATTGGTCCGGCCAAAACCGGACCAGCCGGACCGCTTCTGACGCCCTTGATATATGTCTATATTTATATATAAAGTATGTTACATATATACGGTAATTATTAATATTGGTAATATTAATTTATTCAAGAATTAACATTGTAATATTCTAGGTTTACTTGACGTAAAATTACTGGAACCATCGTGTCCTGAATATGAAGAATTCAGAAAAGAGGTCAGGCTAAAAAAACTGAATATTTTTTCATGCTGTGGATGTGATGTACAGTATCATAAAGGATTTTATCAAGTTGCCTAATACCTTGTTTGTGGTAGTAGTACTGAATAATTAGACCTACACGATTGATGCAACAATGTTTATATACACGAGTTGCCGGATATAATATGTTTTGTATGCAATGAAATAAACTATATTTTCAGACTGCACAAAATCATTATAAAACTGAATATTTTTTCATGCTGTGGATGTGATGTACAGTATCATTAAGAATTTTATCAAGTTGCCTAATACTGTTTGTGGTAGTAGTACTGAATTATTTCTTAGCATGTTTTAAATATTCAGTTAATTCTTGCTTTATTAAAGATACAGTCAAATAACGTACCAGATGATGAACTTATATTAAAAACAGCTGTTTTAACATACATTAATGTTTAATTGTTTAGTTTCGATTTTTATTTATTTGACAAATTCACATTCTTATTCATATACAGTATTATGATTACAATAGAAAATTTAAAGTATGTCTAAAAAAATTAATGAAAATATGAAAATGAGATGTAAGGAATTACATTGGAAAAAAAAGCCTTTACCATGTAACTCTCTTAAATAATAATATAATTAATTCTTAAAAAAAAAAAAAAATCTAGGCCTAAGAACAGTTTAAAGGTAAATCTATCCCCCGCCGGACACCATCACTATTCCAACCACTAGCAACCACAAGTTTATGCTGACATGATCAGTCATGATACGAGTATCAACAGATCTATTTCCAGACATTTTTCAAATACCTACATGTTTAACTACTTTTTCAATTGTTTGAATTGTATTGTTAATATTTTTTCTATATTCTGACCATTGAAACATTGAAATCAATCCTCAATTTGGTTAAGTCATCAACAATACCAAATATGGTGTTTGCCTATGTGCAAACAAGGAAGACATTTGCAGATACTAGCAAAGATCTAGGTATGAATGTAATCAATCAAGATTTTAAAAATTCTGAGATTCTGACAAAAGTTATGCATGTGAACATGATGATTTAATTTTTTTTTTTTATGGGGCCTAAAATACTATAGAAAACTTAGCATATTAAAGACCAACATACAATTATCAAAATCAATCCAAACATCATTTAGATGAAAACTTAACTACTTACGCTCACAACGAAGATCGCCCGCATTGTAGAACCTGAGGCTACAAGTTACTACACAGACGCCCTCTTGTAGCAGGTATCCATCAGGGCAGGTACGACAATGAGGGTCATCATAGAAACAAGTTAAACATGATGCATCACATTCTGTTTAAAAAAAAAAGATTATTACACTGTGTTACATTACTTGCAGCACTTGCTTAAATACCGGTATGTAATAAACCAAATACAAGAATCACCATCTTCATTCAGGATTCTGTTCAAGGTAGAACCAGGTTTTTTCAGATAAGGACTTCAAAGTGAAGGTCCTGTATACACATCTAGCTCTTATGCTGTTTAAATAACTCAGTGCATCCTTCATAAGTGTAGGGATTATCCTTATGCGCTGGTTGAGCACATGTCTTTGTAAAATGATGATGAAAAGGTTGAGGATGTTAAGGGAGATGATAATGATGAATGATGAATGATGATGATGATGATGACATAGATAATTATGATGATGGAAATGACGATTGTGAACAACAATGATGATGTTCATTAACAATGTGTTGATTATAGTGTTGATGTTGAGATGATGATGATGATATTAAGTGAAAATGTGAATGGCAAACTTACCAACACACAAGCCATTGGACAAGTAATAACCATCACTGCACTCAGTCATACACCTCTGTCTTCTTGAGGCATCCAATGAGTCGCTGCATGCAACACAGTCAGATCTCGTTGGTCCTGTACACTCCAGGCAACTTGAATCACATTCTAATACACAAATGTAATTGGATAATATACTTTAAACAGATTACATTTGATTGGCTGAACAAGCTCAATTGATGATACAAATTATAACAAAAATTATAATTTACAAAAAGATTAAATATATATATATATATATATATATATATATATATATATATACACATTTATATACAATCAAATAATCATAATCAAAAGAACTTGATAATTCATACTAATATATTCATAATGCAGACAATAAAAAGATAGAAAATAGATTAATACTATTGAGAACCAAATACTAACAGTCTGAATTGTTATAAAAACACATTATTAAATTATTTATTATAAACCCTGAGTGATAAATACTAATAAAATGTATTCCATCCTCTCAAATTATAACATAAGCCGAATGTTACAGTTTCTGACAGTGAATACCTGACCTGATTAAGGCTTCAATAACTCATAATATGAGTAGCGTACAAGCAACATGAACTAATATACAAACACTTTAATTGTTGAGCATTCTTACCTCCACATTCACCATCAAGCTGGTAGAAGCCAGGTCCGCAACTGATCACACACTGCCCCCACTTAAATACTAGCCCCGATTGACAGGTCATACAGTGAAATTCAGTACCAGCTGAACATTCAACACATGACTCATGACAAGCTGTTGGAATAAATTAAATAAGTATTTCATTAATCTAGAAACCTCTCAAAATTATTATTATTATTAATATATATTTTTTAAAAACTGATAATCTGAAACAGATCCAAAAAGTTCATCAATTTTCAGTGAGACAACAAAAAAAACTCTGATTTACAGAATTTGTAGTGTAAAAACCATAAAATTGACAATTACTTGCAAGTTTATGCAAAGAACAGTGGCATATTTAAGAACCTTTAAATAGATTGGGCAGATAGGGGTGTGAAGCTGAAATGGCCCAGCTCAAACCAGCAGTAGTATTTTCAATTAAAAATCCCAAATGTTATAATTAGCTTTATTTTTAAATTGACATTAACAAGTTGGTAACAAACAGTAATAATAGCAACAACAATTCGTTAAAAAATATTTTATAAAATATAACATTCCGATTTAGCAGATAACATAATAAATAATTAGTAACACTCTTCAAAGACTTACGTAAGCAAGCATTCTGTGTAGATTGATAGAAGCCAAAACCACATCGATCAATGCAGTGGCCATTTTGGATGACTTGTGTAGAATCTCTGCATACCAGGCACCCAAAAGCATTGCAGCTAAAGCAAGATGCATCACATTGAACTGTGAAAGAAACATACAATATATAAAATTACTACAGCTCAGAAATACTTTAGATTACAACACATATTGGGGCTACATCAATCCACTTATTGTCAGACAGGCCTGGACCCGAGCACCAACATTTCCGATGCCACAACAAGGTTACTGGACAAAAAATATTAATAACGTTATTTTCACTGCCAATCCCTAATATTGTGGTCTAATAAACACAATTCTTGGCCAAACTATAAAAACTCTCCACATTAATATTACCAGGAATTTTATTATGGGACCCTGACCAAACTGTAGTTTTAGTTTGGACAAAATTCTAGAACCACCACTATATATTTTTAAGTCACGCATTATATTGTCAAATCATGGGTTTAAATGTTGAAATGTCAACATTTCTGTACTTAAACGTACCCCTTGGTACCAAGGGCTGTTCGTAAATTGAAAAATTCATAAACTAGATTAAGTGTCAGTTTCCAATACCTAGGCCTAGCCCCTGCCATTGAGCCCCGATAGGCTGACAGCGGCCAGGCCTGGCACGAAACGACAGTGCAGAAGCGTCGTCAACTGCGCTAGAGCCTAGCCGAATTTATCTTCGATAAAAATCAAATTATGTTAATCGCTGGCATTCTTCCACTTAACAAAATATTATTCAAACATCTGTGTGTTTTATGGCCCTTTCTAAAGTGTTCTTTCTAGTTGTTAGACTGACGAATCGTGTTGTTAACATGCATTTCGCGATCATATTTAGCATTCACGATGTCAATAAGTTGCCGACACCAACACTCTTGTTTGTCATCATAAATATGTGCGCTCAATCCGATGACACTTGCGTTGGTAGTTCGATTAATAAATAAATACAACTAACTTGATTTTAATAAGAAAAATATACATTATCACTTTGTAAAATGTGCGCAATTTGACATTTTTTCCGGTAAGACCATTTGTAAAATCGACTATACGTAAAATCGATGTTTTACTGTATATATGTAAGTGTATGTA